CCAACTAGGGATCTGTTGAATTTTAGAAAGAAAGAGAAACATCAATTGGTTGCCTCCTGTATGCACCCAGATTGGGGATTGAACCCAGTACCTAGGTGTTGGAGGCTAATTCCAGCAAGTCATAAATGCAAAAAGTTCATCAAAAGGCTGATTAATCTTTGGGGCTTCAGCAGGGCTGAAAATCTGCATGTTATTACCTGCTGCTGGAACAGCTGAAGACAGTTCCCCCAACCTGATAACCTACTGTTTACTGAGCCTTACCTTTCACATGTATATCTGCTTTGCTATTGGGCAAAATCTTATATAATAAAGAGGTAATATGCAAATTGATTGTCAGGCCCTTGCACAAGATGGCCACCCCCATGTGGTCACAAGATGGTGGGCAGGTGAGGGCAGTTAGGGTGACAAGGCTGGGGGGGCAATTGGGGAGACCAGGCCTGCAGGGGAGGACAGTTGTGGGGAACTGGGCTGGCAGCAGAGTCAGTCAGGCTGGCAGGGGAGTGGTTAGGGGGTGAGCAGGCAGGCAGGCCGGCAAGCGGTTGGGAGCCAGCAGTCCCGGATTGTGAGAGGGATGTCTGACTCCCTGTGGGATTGGGCCTAAACTGGCAGTCGGATATCCCTTGAGGGTTCCCAGATTAGAGAGGGTGCAGGCTGAGCTGAGCGACTCCTCCTCAGTGCACAAAATCTGTGCACTGGTCCTCTAGTGTGTTAATAAAAAGCTAGGGTTTCAGCCTTGGCTGGTTTTGCTCAGTAGATAGAGGATTGGCCTGTGGATTGAAGGCTCTTAAGTTCGATTCTGGTCAAGGGCACATGCCTAGGTTGTGGGCTCAATCCCCAGTAGGGGGCGTGCAGGAGGCAACCAATCAATGATTCTCTCTCATTGTTGATGTTTCTATCTCTCTTTCCTTTTCCCTTCCTCTCTGAAATAGCTTTTTAGGGGGAAAATTTGTATATATTATTTATTTATTTATTTTCTAAATAAATAAATTATATATATTTATTTTTATTTTTTAAAAAGCTAGGGGTCCAGAGATTCAGGGAACTTAGCTATTAAAGCTAAGCCTTCCCTGGCTCTCCCAAAAAATGCCTTCCCAATTTATATTTCATGTCTAGTCTCTTTATTAATTTACTCGAAGCCCCTTCTCCAGATTCCTGAACCCTAGTAGATGCAGGATAACACCCTGGCACCTAGGTATGTGCCCTGACCAGGAATCAAACCTGAAACCTTTTGGTGTATGAGACAATGCTCCAACCAACTGAGCAACCAGACCAGAGCTCATTGGTTAATTCTTTCTTTTTTTTTTTTTTTTTAATATATTTTATTGATATTTTACAGAGAGGAAGGGAGAGAGATAGAGAGCTAGAAACGTCAATGAGAGAGAAACATCGACCAGCTGCCTTTTGCACACCCCCTACTGAGGATGTGCCCGCAACCAAGGTACATGACCTTGACCGGAATCAAACTCGGGACCTTTCAGTCCGCAGACCGACGCTCTAACACTGAGCCAAACCGGTTTCGGCGGTTGATTCTTTTTTAAAAAATATATTTTTTATTGATTTCAGAGAGAAAAGGAGAGGGAGAGAGAGATAGAAACATCAGTGATGAGAGAGAATCATCCATTGGCTGCCTCCTGCACCGCTCCTACTGGGGCCTGGCATCCTGGCATAGACAGACCCTGACCTGATGGGGAATCTAATCGTGACTTCCTGCTTCATATGTCGAAGCTCAACCTCTGAGCTACACTGGCCAGGCTTATTGGTTGATTTTTATTTTTATTTTTATTGATTTTAGAGATGAAGGGAGAGGGAGAGAGACAGTAATATCAGTAGTGAGAGAGAAACACTGCACACCCCCTACAGGGGATCAAACCCGCAACCCAGGCATGTGCCCTTGACCAAAATTGAACCCTGGACCCTTCAGTCTGCAGGCTGATGCTCTATTCACAGAGCCAATCCAGCTAAGGTATTGGTTGGTTGATACTTGTAAGTACCCTGACAGGGAATAGAAACAGAAACCTTGGCTTATCGGGAGGGTATTCTAACCAACTGAGCTACCTGCTCAGGGTTCATTGACTCGGGTCTTTACCAGAAGAGATTAGGACATAAAGAAAAAGACCACGTGAAGTCAGAGGGAGAAGACTGCATCTGCAGTGCTAGAAGAAATTAACCTTATCAATACCTTGGTCTGGGACTTCCTGCCTCCAGAACGGTAAGAAAATTTCTGTTGTTTAAGCCATCTAATCTCTGGTATTTTGATATGTTAACCCTAGAAAACTAATATAAATACATTTTGCTTTATTTTCCAAAATAACATTGCAATAACAAATAATGCCGTTTCAAACTATGCATGCTCAACCCCATTTCCCCTGTGGATTTGTCCCTTCTAGCCTCAGCACTACCATTTCCCCGGTGGAAAATTGTTGGCCTGTAGGACAAAGATCAGCCTTCTGAGTCTGGCAATGAAAGCCTTCCTGCCAAACCCTATCTCCTACTCCACCTCCTTTGAGCTACTAGTGTTTCTCCTCCATATCTCAGGCTACTTTGGTTCTCCCTTCAGTGGCTGTGAAGAGCAAGGTTAGAGAAATAGGCCGTTAGGGCCTGAATTGGGTGGGATAGCTGTGTGGAAGGAAGATAAAATGGAGATGAGACTAATGGCAGGGAGACCAACAAGGTCCAATAGCAATAATCCCAACCAGAGAGACTGTGACCCAGATTAGGGTGTGGTGGGTAAGATGAATGAAGTGGGTAGATTTCAGAGATATTTGGGAGGTAAAATTGACCTGTATTGAGTTCTCAAAAAATATTTAAAAAAATATTTTTGATTTCAGAGAGAGCAAGGGAGAGGGAGAGATAGAAACATCAGTGATGAGAATCATTGATTGGCTGTCTCCTACACACCCCCTACTGGGAATAGAGCCCACAATCCAGGAATGTGCCCTGCTTGACTGGGAATGGAACCCTGATCTCCTGATTTATAGGTCAACACTTAACCACTGAATAATGCTGGCCGGACTAAAAATATATTTGTTGACGTTCATGTTCTTTTCTTTCTTTCTTTCTTTCTTTCTTTCTTTCTTTCTTTCTTTCTTTCTTTCTTTCTTTCTTTCTTTCTTTCTTTCTTTCTTCCTTCCTTCCTTCCTTCCTTCCTTCCTTCCTTTTTCTTTCTTCCTTCCTTCCTTCCTTCCTTCCTTCCTTCCTTCCTTCCTTCCTTCCTTCCTTCCTTCCTTTCTTTTCTTCCTTCCTTCCTTCCTTCCTTTCTTTTCTTCCTTCCTTCCTTCCTTCCTTCCTTCCTTCCTTCCTTCCTTCCTTCCTTCCTTTCTTTCTTTCTTTCTTTCTTTCTTTCTTTCTTTCTTTCTTTCTTAAATGAATTGAGCTTTGGCCTGCAGTCTGAAAGGCCCTAGGATCAGATCAATTCCTTCCTTTTAAGGGTACATACTTTGTTGTAGGCTTGATTTCCCAGCCCTGATCGGGATGTGTGCAGGAAGCAACTAATTGATGTGTCTCTCTCACATCGATGTTTCTCTCTCTCTGTCTCTCCCCCTTCCTTCCACTCTCTGGAAAAAAGCAATGGAAAAATAACCTCGGATAAAGATTTTAAAAATAAATAAATAAAAGGAGGACTATTTTTTTTAATTTATTGATTTTAGAGATAGAGGAAGAGAAAGAGAAACATCAATGTAAGAGTGATGTGCCCTGACCAGGAATTGAACCTGTGACCTTCCAGTACACAAGACAACACTTCAACTAACTGAGCCATACCAGCCAAGGCCTGACTATTCTTTCTAAAGTAGGCTCTTTGGTTACTCTTCTGTTTACTTCCTTTACAGCACTTTTCACAGTCTGCAATTACCTTATTTATGTATTTGCCTGTTGTATGTTTCCATCAAGCAGATTGTAAATTAAAGGAGGACAATATCCTTGACCAGCCTTATTCAGACAGTGCTGGGCACTTAGCAGGTGCTCTCAACAAATCTTCAAAAGATTGGTCCTACAGAGTGAGGGCAGAAAGGTGAGGAGGACGAGGCCAGGAGGAGACCTATGACAAACACTCCAGAGAGGGGTCAAGACCCCATCTCTTTCTGCTGCTGGCCCTGGGAAGGGTCGGCATGTACCAGGGCTCGAGGGGCCCCGTTGGCCCCCTGACCACCTGCCCAATTGTCCATTGCCAGGTTTGAGAAAATTCCCATTCTCCCTTTTCTGGCCTCTGGCTGCTGACTCAGGGCAGTGGGGGTTTCCGGAAAAGGGAAGAGAGGACCCCATTGGAACCCTAGATCTGCCCCTCACGTGTGGAAGTGGGTAGCAAAAGATGTGGCCTAAAAAAAAAAAAAAAAGAAAAAAAAAGATGTGGCCTGGCGCATGGTAAAAGCCTTAAATGCCAGATCTGTTTGACCCCAAAACTCAGTGTGACAGCCCCACTCTACCCTCCTCTTGCGCAAGCCAGGCTGGGCTCGGGAGTCTGCAATTCCGCCCAGGCCCGGAAGGGGTCAGCACTGGGCTGGACCTGGGGGCTCTGGCCAGGGCCTGAGGCATTTAAAGACGCTGCGGGTGCCTCTCCCCTCCTGGCTGGTCCCCTAGTTGTGGGAAAACCCCGCAGTTGCCCAGAACTCGCTCTGACTTCAGCAAAACCACGAAGAAATGGGCGCCCGGCCCCCAGGGTGGGTGGAGCGGGGCGGCGGGGCGACGGGCCCCACATCCTGGAGGCAGCCACGTGGTGCCCGGCGCTGTGGCTGCGTCTTTAAGGCTTGGGAAGGAGGCGGGGCCTTGAGGCGGGGCGGGCGGCCGTGAAGCCCGCGGAGGGGCGTGGCTTCCCGGTGACGCGCCGCCAGGAAGGGGGCGGGCCCTCCGTGACGAGGCGCCGGGGAGGGGGCCGGCGTTCATTGATAAAAACCACGGGCTCCCTCGGGCGCGAGCCCAGCGTAGCCAATCCAGACGGCGCCGCGCGCGGCCCCGGCGGGTGGGACCGAGGACCAGCCCGACCCGCGCTGCGACGCCCGGCCCGCATGGAGCCCGCGGCCGGCACCCTGTCCCCGCGCCCCTTCCCGAGCGCGCCCGCGCCGCCCGCGCCCCCCGCCGGGCCCGGGCCGCCGCCGCCGGATGCCAGGCCGGGACCTGAGCCGGAGACGCTGGCCGCGCCGCCCGCGCCGGACCCCGGGCGCCTCATCACCGACCCAGGCAGCGGCCGCACCTACTTCAAAGGCCGCCTGCTGGGCAAGGTGAGCTCGGGGTGGTGCTGGCGGGGGTGGAGGGGGCCTTGGCGGCCTCTGTCCGCGCCGGGCGCGGTGGGGGGGGGGGCGCTTGGGACCTCCGCGGGCCGGATCCGGCCTCCCCGGGAGCGCCATGCCTGACCCCCCCTCCTCACAGGGGGGCTTCGCCCGCTGCTACGAGGCCACTGACACCGAGACCGGCAACGCCTACGCGGTCAAAGTCATCTCGCAGAGCCGCATCACCAAGCCGCATCAGCGCGAGAAGGTGGGCTCGGGCCCGGGCCTAGCGGATGGGGCGCGGGGTGGGGACGGTGGCGAGGGCGCCCTGGGAGGATGACGATCCCGCTCCCCCTCTGCAGATCCTAAATGAGATCGAGCTGCACCGCGGCCTGCAGCACCGCCACATCGTGCGCTTCTCACATCACTTTGAGGATGCTGACAACATCTACATCTTCCTGGAGCTCTGCAGCCGGAAGGTGAGGGAGGGGTGGTGACTCGGGGTGAGGGGGAAAGGAGCCTTCAGATCCAAAGCTGGAGACCCTGCCTCTCCCTCGTGGAGCACAGGTGGAGGGAGGGCCCGGAGGGCGGTCAGGGACTGAGGCGGTGGTTCTCCGTAGTCCCTGGCCCACATCTGGAAGGCCCGGCACACCCTGCTGGAGCCAGAAGTGCGCTATTACCTGCGGCAGATCCTTTCGGGGCTCAAGTACCTGCACCAGCGAGGCATCTTGCACCGAGACCTCAAGCTGGGTGAGGCTCGGGGCCAGCAGGGCGGGTCGGGGTGGGGGTGGGGGTGGGGGTGGGGGTGGGGGTGGAGAGGCAGAGAAAGGAGTGTGACACACCTCTCTGCCCCCTTACAGGAAATTTCTTTATTACTGAGAACATGGAACTGAAGATGGGGGATTTTGGGCTGGCAACCCGGTTGGAACCCCCAGAGCATAGGAAGAAGTGAGTGTCTGGGGGGTGGCACAGTCAGTGTGCGACACAGATGACGCCTGCCTGACAGGCAGCACCTGTGTGGGAAGCCGGATGATTGCCTGTGTGTGTGTGTGAGAGAGAGATAGCTGGGGAAGATAATATGTGAAGGTGGAGGTGGCACCTGAGTTGCTGGGACTGGTGGAGAGGCAGAGGGTCCATTGGGTGTCCGAGTCCCTGAGACAGATCGGGATATTAGGATTCTTGGGGCTGTGTGACTGACCCTGTGTGTGGATGGGGGAAGGTGACCCAGTGTTGGTGTGTGAGACAGGGCGTGTGGGAATGAGGGACACAGGTAGGTGTGTGGCGGATGAGTGTGGGGAGGTGACAGCTGGTGTTGGTGTGTGCATGTGGCACAGACCGTCGGAGGTGACGGCCTGTGTGGGTGTCTGACAGATGGGAGAGGGGGAAGGAGGAAGGGGTCGGTGATGGCCCCTCTGTTGACCCTGGAGAAGGGGGCAGGGTTGGGGGCCGGGCCCTCCCTCCCAGGTCCTACAGAGCAGCTGAGCAGCTGGGCCAGGCAGGTGGGCGGGGACTCAGCTGCCATCCCCAGTGTCCATTGTCCCAGGACAAGCAGGAGTTCTCTGGCCTTGGGCGACAGGCAGCTGCTTTGTCTGGACTCGCAGTGGGGGCAGGGCTGGGGCGAGGGCTCGCTAGGCTGGGCCTACACCCTGCCCTCTCCTCCCCTTTCCAGGACCATCTGTGGCACCCCTAACTACGTGGCCCCGGAAGTGCTGCAGAGGCAGGGGCACGGCCCGGAGGCAGACGTGTGGTCCCTGGGCTGTGTCATGTGAGTCGCGGGTCATGTGCACGCAGATGGGTGCGGGGGTGGGCGTGCCTCCCCCTTCACTCCGGACCCCGCACCTCCGCCCTCAGGTACACACTGCTGTGCGGGAGCCCCCCCTTCGAGACGGTCGACCTGAAGGAGACGTACCGCTGCATCAAGCAGGTTCACTACACGCTGCCCACCAGCCTCTCGCTGCCCGCCCGCCAGCTCCTGGCCGCCATCCTCCGGGCCTCGCCCCAGGACCGCCCCTCCATCGACCAGATCCTGCGCCACGACTTCTTCACCAAGGTCCGCGGCTCACGGGCGCCTTCGTCCGGTTCGCACGTCCCCAGGGGAGTGAGGGGGGGGGCCGGTGCGGGACCCTCCGTTTCCCCGCTCACGTGGCTCCGCTCCTCAGGGCTACACCCCCGACCGGCTCCCCATCAACAGCTGCGTGACGGTCCCAGACCTGGTCCCCGTGAACCCCGCGAGGATTCTGTTCGTCAAAGTCACCAAGAGCCTCTTTGGCAGGAAGAAGAACAAGAGTGAGTCTGGGATGCCGGCAGCTCGGAGGGTGCAGAACGGGGGCTGTTCCATACACACGCGCTGGGGTGTGAGAGCCTGGGAGCCCGGGGAGAGCGTGTGTGACGTGGGCTGCGTGATCCCTGCGGGACGCAGGATCCTGAGGGCTCTGCCTGCCCCCGTCCAGGTAAGAACCACCCCGAGGAGCGGGACGAGGTGTCCGGCTTGGTGAGCGGCCTCACTCGGACGTCCATCGGCCGCCAGGATGCCAAGCCTGAGGTGAGGTGCTCCCTGACTCACCCACCCCAGCAGCTGCGGGAAGCCCGCGATGAAAGAGGCGGGCGAAGCATCGGGCCTCGTGGCGGCCTAATTGGCTGCGTCTCATTAGCCAGGCGGGGCTGACCCGGGCTGACCCGGGATGTCCTGGTTGCCGGGCAGGGCTAGGCCACGGACTCTCAGAGATTTGGGTTTCGGGGCCTGCCTCACCCACTCCTTTCCCCTCCCCAATCCTCCAGGCCCCCGCCGCGTCCGGCCCGGCCCCCCTCAGCCTGGTAGAGACGGCGCCCGAAGACAGCTCCCCCCGTGGGACGCTGGCGAGCAGCGGAGATGGTGAGCAGCCAGGAGCGTGAGAGGTGCTAGCGGTTACCGGGCTGGGACCAGGGGCCGGAGGGGAGGAGTGAGCGGGAGGACGTGGCCTCGGTCCCGGGGGACGAGCGCCTAATTCTGGGCGCCCCGTTCCCTGTAGGGTTTGAAGAAGGACTGACCGTGGCCACTGTGGTGGAGTCCGCGCTCTGTGCGCTGAGAAACTGCCTGGCCTTCATGCCCCCGGGTAAGCTGGGGTCCGGTGCCTGTGACGGCGGTGGGGGGTCTGTGGCTGCGAGGCCAGGGGCAGGCCCTACTCCTTCCTCTCCCTGACAGCGGAGCAGAACCCGGCGCCCCTGGCACAGCCAGAGCCCCTGGTGTGGGTCAGCAAGTGGGTCGACTACTCCAACAAGTTCGGCTTCGGGTACCAGCTGTCCAGCCGCCGCGTGGCCGTGCTCTTCAACAACGGCACCCACATGGCGCTGTCGGCCAACAGGAAGTAAGGCTGCGGCGGGGTTTCTTGTATCCGGGCCCCGGGCCTGAGGGGCGGCAGCGCAGGGCCCCCTCTGACCTCTGCCCCCTCCTCCCCTCCAGGACTGTGCACTACAACCCCACCAGCACAAAGCACTTCTCCTTCGCGGTGGGCGCCGTGCCCCGGGGCCTGCAGCCGCAGCTGGGCGTCCTGCGGTATTTCGCCTCCTACATGGAACAGCACCTCATGAAGGTGTGTGGCCTGGGGTGGTGGGGCCCGTGGAGGACTCGCGTCCTGGTCCCTTTCTGTCCCCCTTGGTGGAGGGGCCCAGAGCGAAAGGCTGACCCCCTCAGGGAGACATCCGTGGGGAGGGCCCTGGCTCAGGGCAGACCAGTGAGCTGCCTCTGCTCCCAGGGTGGAGACCTGCCGAGCGTGGAAGAAGTGGAGGTGCCCGTCCCCCCGCTCCTGCTGCAGTGGGTCAAGACGGACCAGGCCCTGCTCATGCTGTTTAGCGACGGCACGGTCCAGGTCAGAGCTTCTCCTGGGATGGGGTCGGCCGGGAGGCCTAGGGTGGTGGGGGTGGGTGTGGGGGGGAGGAAAGGACCTGGGGCCGAGGCCCTGATCCATGCCACCCTCCTGGACGCAGGTGAACTTCTACGGAGACCACACCAAGCTGGTCCTCAGCGGCTGGGAGCCCCTGCTGGTGACTTTCGTGGCCCGCAACCGCAGCGCCTGCACCTACCTGGCTTCCCACCTGCGGCAGCTGGGCTGCTCGCCGGACCTGCGGCAGCGGCTCCGCTACACCCTGCGGCTGCTGCAGGACCGCTGCTCGGCCTAGCCCGGCCCTCAGGCCCGCGGTCTGCGCCTGCCGGGCCCCGGCCCGCCTCTGCGGCCCTCCCTGTCCCTTCGGTGCCTCGCTGGGGGGCGGGGGGCTCTGGGCCGAGCCCCCCAGGGAATCAGGGACCAACTTGACTGGGGTTGCGGGCTGCCTGTCCGAGCTGCCTCCCAGCCCTTCTCCAAGAAAAGCCTGAGCCTTAGCCCCCAGCTAGGGGGCGCTATTTATGGACCACTTTTATTTATTGACAGACGTTTATTTATTGGGATGTGCCGCCCGAGGGAGGGCCTCCTCCTGGGGCAATAAACCGTTTTTGCAGAAGCCGGGCGCCTCCTCACTCGCAGTAGAGCCCGTGGACCGTGGCTACTGCGAAGAGCGAGGCGTTGGTGAAGGTGGCGGAGGCCAGGCCGTCGTGGGCGCCGTCCCAGAGCGCCCGGCTGGCCACGTGCACGCCCTGGCCGGCGCGCTGGCCCAGCACCACGCTGCACACCAGCTTGTAGCGGGGCGGGCCGAGCTCCCGCAGGTGCGAGTGCACCCGTTCGCACAGCGCCCGCGCCAGGGCCCCCGCCTTGGGGCCGGGGTAGGCCGTGTCTTGCAGTCCGGTGGCCAGCGCTTCCTCCAGGGCCTGCTGCGCCCGACCGGCCTCCCAGCGCTCCCCGGGCGCCGGCTCGGTGCGGTACGAGGGCGCCATCCGCCGAGGAGGTGCCAGGAGCAGCCCTGAGAAGCTGATCCTGGAGCCTAACGGGGGCATTGGGCCCCAGGATGGCCGCCGGCCGCCGGGACCCAAGCCCGGGCCGGCCAGCGAGTTGCGGCGGGAAAAGGATGAAGTCGGGCCCAGCACGGAGCCGCGGCGGGAGGCGGGGCCCGGGGCTGCGGGCCGGGCCTCATCGATGCTGGGCAGGTGGCCCGGGGGCCGCACCAGCGACAGCTTCGCCCCGGACTCTTTGGCGGCCTCCTCCTCCTGGCGTCCTGGGGGCACAGGCCTCCCAGCCATGGACCTGCAGGCTGAGAGACCCACGCTGGATGGGGTGGCCTTCCCCTTGGAATATCACTCATTTTCTTACTTGGTACTAAGGGTCTTTTATCCCCTAACCTCTTCTTACCTGGGTTTTTGAGGCAGGTCAATCAACGAGGCCAGGGCTGAGGGAATTCTTAGGTGCTCAGAGGATTGAGGGCTGTTAGGGAGATAAGGAAAGAGATGCTGCTTAGATTGTTATCTTGGACTGACCCTATCCCTGGAACTCTTTCCCCTGGGCCCTGGAGGTCAGCCCAGGAGAAAGTCTAGACCAGTGGTTCTCAACCTTCCTAATGCCGCCGCCTTTCATTCAGTTCCTCCTGTTGTGGTGACCCCCAACCATAAAATTATTATCGTTGCTCCTTCATACTAATTTTGCTGCTGTTATGAATCGCAATGTAAATATCTGTGTTTTCCAATGGTCTTAGGCTCCACGGCAGCAGACCCACCGTTGAGACCCACCAGCAGGGTCGCCTAAGACCACCACCACCTGAGGAACTGGGTCAAAGGGTCCGGCATTAGGCAGGCTGAGAGCCACTGGGCTAGTAGAGGCATCTGTTTTGTGTCTCAGCCTAGACAGTGGTGCCTTCAACCCCCACCCAGCAGGAGGGACCAACAGATGCAACTCCAGTCCACCGGTCCTAGCCCTGTGGTGTTATGTCCAGTCATCTTCCCCCCCCACCCTGCGCCTAGAACACGGAGGGCACACATTTCTCCCCACAACTGGCTGGGGCTGGGGCAGGTGGCACAGGAAGCTCCTTCGCCCACTGCTGTGGCCTCTGGCCCTACCTCCAGGGTCAGTTTCGGGATGACAGCTCTTCCGAAATCCCCGCAGGCACCCTGTCGCCTGCAGCTCTCAGCCTGGGCGGCCTCCTGGCAGGTGGGGGAAGAAGGGCCCCTTGTGCCTGTGTTGTGCAGTTGCCATGGGTTGCCGGGCAAGCACTCCTCCCTTCCTGGTTCCCTCCCGCCCGCCCTCCCTCCGGGCTCTGACTTAACCCGGAGTGTTATCCCGTGAGCACGTGCTGAGCGCCGGGCGGCTGAGTCACCCCGGGAGAGGGGGCCATGGGGCTCTGCGCCCAGGAACCTCCTACCCTGACAAGGACCACGGGGCGCAGATGTGGAGAGGGGTGCTGGTCAGAAAGGGGTCCCCACCCCAGTGCTCCTAGGCCATTGCCCATTTCTCTTGTGAAGATGGCTCTTCCCGTGTGAGTCTCCGAGGCCGGGATGTGGGGAGACCTTGAGGCCACTGTGGGGGCGGCTGCTCGGGAATCAGGCTCCGGGCCCACAGGAAGGAGCGCATCATGACTCCATCGCCTCTCCTTCAGTCTAAACAAGGACAACTATTTCCGCTCCCCGCGCAGAGCTGGGGTGGGGCTTGGCTGACTTCCTCAACTCAGGGCCGCCTGAGCACATGGGAGGGGGCTCACTCAACTGGGCATCCAGCCTTCCGACCCTGCTGCCCGAGCACTCGGGGGCTTGTCCCCGGCTGGCCACACCCCTTGGGCTGCATTTCAGGGATGCCAGAGGCCATGACTCCTCAGTCAGCTCTGACACCTCCTCACCTGACCCGCTCTGGGAGAGCCAGGACTGCCCTCTCCCACAGAAACCCAATCCGGGCCCTAAAAACCTGCGCTTCCCTTCCTTGCCTGTGTTATGAAGTTGCATGGGTTACTGGGCGAGCACTCCCTTCCTGGTTCCCTCCCTTGTGGAGGGGGGTTTCCCAGACCTGGCTAACCTGATCCGAACTCTGTGCCGTGGGGGCGGGTGGGAGGGGCAGGGAGGATTCCGCTGAGGGCCCCTCTGAAGGCTGAAGTTTCCCCCAGGCCTGTGGGAGCTGGGCGGGGCCTCCTTAGGCCAGGCTCCAGTTTCCTTGGAAACCCACAGGCTTCCCACCCTTGTCTGCCTGGGCAGACTCCCAGCCCGGGCCTCATTTGCAGCTCGCTTCTCCTCCCCCATTTAGTCTGCTCCAGCTTGGCCTCTTTTGGTCCTCTTCCCCGAGTCCCCACGCGGAGCCCTGGCCTCCTCCACCGGCCTCCGATGCCTTCTTCCCACACCTGGGCCTCTCCTGCCCCATCCCTAACAGCTTCTCAGCAAACAGGCCTCCCGCACGCCTGCCCCTCTCTCTCCGGCCTTTCTAGCCTGGCCAGGCCTCCTGCTCCTTCCCACCCACTGCCTCCCACATACAGACCTACAACAGGCCTGCTAGGCGATTTCCCTCGCTCCCCTGCCCCGGCCCACCCATGGAGTCCCCGAGACTGGTGCACGGGGAAGCTGAGCCCTTTTCCAAAGCTCTCCGCAGCCTCGTCAACAACCGCCTGTACAGGTGAGGGGGCTGGTCCTTTGTGGGTTTGGAGAGCGGGCTCTACTGGGCCCCAGGACTCAGGAAGCCCTGAGTGCAGAGGAGGCGGGGAATTAGGACTTGACCCTCTTGAACTCAGGGGCCATCATATCCCCAGACCAGAAGGGGAGGGCAGTGGGTGACTGTGTGATCTTAGGCAAAGGCCTTCCTTTTTTTTTTGAATCTTGGGCTCCTAGCAAAGAGCCCCCTGCCCCCTGGATCCTGAGAGATGGGCTGTCACTTGAGTCCCTCCCTCTGGAGGCAGAGGAGCAGATGACCCTGATCCGGAACTGGGGGTTTACTAAGGAACAAAGTTCCAGGGATGGAGCCAAAGTCTGAGACAGGAAGTGTGGGTCAAGGGTGCTGTCTGGGGCTCAGTGTCTGCCTAGGACCCACGTGGTCTGAAACCAGGAATAGAGAATGGGGGCAGGGCCGGTCCGGAGAATGAGAATGTAGCTTTTGGTCCCCACTGGCTCAGAGCAGGGCTCCTCCACAAAGGTTGCTGAATCCTGTAACCCCACTGCTTCGGGGATCCCAGGCCTTGGACCTGGGACCAGGAGGCTCCAGGAAGTCAGGTTTCATCCGCCCCCGACCCACGCTGTTGTCAGAGGCCCAGAGGCTGGGGCCGGAAGCGATTTTGAAGATGGAAAATGTGGTCTGGCCTGTTGATGGTGCATTACCGCTGTGTCTGTACCCCTGTCCTCCCACCCCCTCTCGCCTGGAGGAGGCTGAACAAGCTGAGCTTGCAGTCTGTGGAGGAAGAGCACGCAGGGCTTCCCTTCCCCCAGGACCCAGGCCGGGAGGAGAGGGTATGTGTAATCCAGCTTGCATCAGCCCTGGAGCTGCCTTAGTGATGAAGCATGGCCACCTCCTCCGAGGCCTGAGAGTCCAGGAATGCCATCCCATTTCACGGGGGAGAACACTGAGGTTCAAAGATAGGACGTCACTTGCCTGAGTACTATAGGGTGGAACAGGGATAGAACACAGGCCTTTCTGTCCCAAACCTTCGGCTGGAAGAACTAAGCCCTCTCTCTTATAGGACAGATAAGGAAGCAAAGACCTAGAGTTTCATCCTAGACTCTGGCCTCTTCTCCCCTGGCTCTCTGCCCCTCTCTTCCTTTTCTTTCTTTCTTTTTTTAAAAATAAATTTTATTGATTTTTAAAAAATATATATTTTATTGATTTTTTACAGAGAGGAGGGGAGATAGAGAGCTAGAAACGTCGATGAGAGAAACATCGACCAGCTGCCTCCTGCACACCCCCTACTGGGGATGTGCCCGCAGCCAAGGTACATGCCCTTGACCGGAATCGAACCTGGGACCTTCCAGTCCGTAGACCGATGCTCTACCACTGAGCCAAACCGGATTCGGCAAATTTCATTGATTTTTTACAGAGAGGGATAGAGAGTTAGAAACATTGATGAGAGAGAATCATCAATCAGCTGCCTCTTGCACACCCCCTACTGGGGATGTGCCCGCAACCAAGGTACATGCCCTTCACAGGAATCGAACCCGGGACCTTTTAGGCTGCAGGCCGACGCTCTATCCACTGAGCCAAACCGGTTTCGGCATCTCTGCCCCTCTCTTCTACAGTGATGTTCGCTTTGTGGTCGGTCAAGAGCGGCAGGAGGTGTTTGCCCACCGGTGCTTGCTGGCCTGTAGATGCAACTTTTTCCAGCGACTTCTGAGCCCAGAGCCGGGCCCTGGGGTGCCTGGCCCGGTGGTGCTGAGCACCGTGCCCGCAGAGGCCTTCCTGGCAGTGCTGGAGTTCTTGTACACCAACAGCGTCAAACTGCACCGCCATTCTGTGAGCCCACGGGGCAGAGGTCTGGGTGGGAGAGGGAGCGGGTGTGGGGGGCTGAGGAGCAGGGAAAACTCTTCCGCTCCAACCACCACTTGCAGGTGCTGGAGGTGCTGACTGCAGCTGTGGAGTATGGGCTGGAGGACCTGAGAGAGGTGGGTGTAGGTGGCAGGCCCCTCTCCCTTGCCTCTTAGGGGTTTCAAATCCTCCCTCACACTCATTCTGTCTTGGAGGGAGCATGTACCAACGCCAAGAGAAGTATCTTAGGCCCGTATGTGTGCCTGTGTGCAAAGGATGCCTGCCTGCCTGCCTGCTGTGTGCTGTGGGGGCTTATGAGGTGTTTATGGCTGGTGCTATATATATCAGATAAGACCTTCATTCTTTTTTTTTTTTTATATATATATTTTATTGATTTTGTACAGAGAGGAAGGGAGAGAGATAGAGAGTTAGAAACATCGATGAGAGAGAGTCATCGATCAGCTGCCTCTTACACACCCCCTACTGGGGATATGCCCGCAACCAAGGTACATGCCCTTGACCGGAATCGAACCCGGGACCTTTCAGTCCCCAAGCCGACGCTCTATCCATTGAGCCAAACCAAGACCTTCATTCTTTTAAAAAAATATATATTTTATTGAGTTTTTACAAAGAGGAAAAGGATAGAAAGCTAGAAACATCGATGAGAGAGAAACATTGATCAGCTGCCTCTTGCACACCCCCTGCTGGGGATATGCCCGCAACCAAGGTACATGCCCTTGACCGGAATCGAACCTGGGACCTTTTAGTCTGCAAGCTGGTGCTCTATCCACTGAGCAAACCGGTTTCGGCAAGAGCCTTCCTTCATTTTTGTTCTTTAAATAGAAATAGACATGTAAACTTTGTTTTGTGGAGGGCTGGGCTTGCCAAGGCTTACGCCCTGGTGATTCCCTGTCTGCCTGGCCTGGGAGACAGTGGGCCTGGGCCTGCTAGGAGTCTGGACGGCTGACTGTTCCCAGCCTGCTTACTGCTTCTGGGATGGGTTGGGGTCGGGGATACCTCAGCACAACCTACACTCCTTTCTGTTTCCAGCTCTGTCTGGAGTTTGCGGTGAAGGTGCTGGATGTGGAGCTGGTGTGTGAGGCCCTGCAGGTGGGTGTTGCTGGACCCAAGCAGGTGGTCCCCAGTGTGGAGGGCTGGGCTACTAGTCCACGGCCTCTCCTCTGACTTCATCTCCCTCGTTCCGCTCCCAGGTGGCTGTCACCTTTGGCCTGGGACCACTGCAGGAGCGGTGCATAGCCTTCATAGAGGCCCACAGCCAGGTACGGCTCCCCATTTTCATACAACCCCGCCCGCACCTCTCCTTCTGCTCCGCCCTGACCCATTGCTGGACCCACAGGAAGCGCTTCGGACCCGTGGCTTCCTGGAGCTGTCGGCGCCCGCGTTGCTGCTCCTGCTGCGCAGTGACAAGCTCTGCGTGGACGAGGCTGATCTGGTCCTGGCGGCCCGGAGCTGGGCGCGCGTGGGAGCGGTGAGCGGGGCGAAGGGGAGCGCGGGCTGAGGTGCCGAAGGGTGGGGCTGCCGGAACCCGGGGGGCGGGCGGTGGGCCAGGGGCCCCTCCTCCCCTCCGCCCGGGCTCAGGGCTGGTGTTCGCAGGCGGTGCTGGACCGGCCTGTGGCCGAGGTAGCAGCCCCAGTGGTGCGGGAGCTGAGACTGGCCCTGTTGGCCCCCGCGGAGCTGAGTGCCCTGGAAGAGCAAAACCGGAGGGAGCCGCTCATCCCGGTGCGGAGGCGAGGAACCAGGCTCAGAGCCACTCAGCAGCGTGGGGTGGGGGTGGGGGCACAGGGTCTGAGGGGTGAAGGGGCCACTGCGGGACTCCACAGTGAGTGACCGGCCTTCCCCTGAAGGTGGAGCAGATCGTGGAGGCGTGGAAATGCCACGCCCTGCGAAGAGGAGATGCGGCCCGGGGTGCCACGTGCCGCCGCCGGAGGGGCACCCTGCCCCGGGAGCATCACCGCTTTCTGGACCTGCCCTTCAAGTGACCACAGGCCAGGTCTCGCGAGGAAGGCTGGGCCTCTCCTGAACTACAACTCCCGACATGCTCGGTCCTCTGAGCGGGCTTCCGCTCCCAGCATGCTCGGCGGGCGGGGCTCGGGAAGCACCGGGTGGGCGGGGCGCAGAGCTCTGTGGGCGGGGCCTAGGAGGGCGGGAAGGGCGCGGGCTTGAGCTGGGCCCGCCCTCCTGGCCACGAGGAAAACCGAAATCTTACACACACACACACCCCCCCCCCCCCCCCCCCCCCGGCACCTTATCCTAACTGGGCCCCGGGCCCCGGGCCCCTTACCCTAACTCTGCCCCGGGCCCCGGGCACTCTCACCCGCCCCATTTGCGCTTGTGCTTCTCCGCTCAGCCCCTTCGATATTTCCAGACCTGCCTCCTGGAGGTCGCTTTGAAAATGGCTCACGGACACCAGACACCATTCAAAACTGAGCTTCCTCCTCTTTCCCCAGTTCTGACCGTGGTTTCTCACCGCCGCGAGTGCCAAGCCCGAAGCCGGGGTCCCCCGGCCTCACGCCTCTTCCCCGTCTGCTTCCGCTGCCTTCTAAGGGACAAGGGCGGAGAGTATGCCGAGCCCAATATGCCTTTTGGACATAAGGGTTATTTTAAGCTGGTTATTTTGAGAAACAGGAGAAATTCTGAGAACAGTACAAGTTACCCTTTTGTAAGGGAAATTTATATTTATAAAGGAAGTCTCCATTTTCCAGGAAAAGGCGCCCCTGAGAGCTAACCACCCGCGTTTACCTGCTGTTCCTGGTGGCCCCTCACTTCTCTCCCGTCGTAGGCGGAAGGTGGTATTAAAGTGGGTGTTTTGGGCCACTTCAGGGACTTACTCATTTTTCCTGGGGTATCTCCCATGTATACACGAAGTATACATGTTAATAAACTTCTGTTTGCTTTTCTCTTGTTAATCTGTTTATTATTATTATTATTGCTAGAGGCTTGGTGCACAAAATTCGTGCAATGGGGGGGGGGTGTCCCCCAGCCTAGCCTACACCCTCTCCAATCTGGGACTGCCAGTAGTCGGACATCCCTCTCACAATCCAGGACTGCTGGCTCCCAACTGCTCGCCTGCCTGCCTGCCTATCTAATTGTCCCTAACCGCTTCTGCCTGCCAGACTGATCACCCCCTAACCACTCCCCTGCCATCCTGATCAATGCCTAACTGCTCCCCTGCTGGCCCGATTGCTCCCAACTGCCCTCCCCTGCTGGTCTGATTGCCCCCAACTGCCCTCCTCTGCTGGCCTGATCTCCCACAACTGCCCTCCCCTGCCAGCCATCTTGTAGTGGCCATCTTGTGACCACATGGGGGTGACCATCTTGTGTGAGGGTGTGACAGTCAATTTGCATATCACCTCTTTATTATATAAGATAGGGGTCTCAGCCAAGAGCTCAGAGTAGAGGAAAATTATTTTTTTCTCGACAGGATTCTTACAGCTGTTTCAGCTCTTTCTGCCCAGTTCAGTCAGTATACCTGTGGCAGGAATTACTGAAACAGATGAATTAGTGTTCTCGCCTTCATCTGAGCAGCCCTTCCCCCAAGTCCACTTCTCATGCTGCTGCTAGATTCACCAAAGATTACCAGCCCTACTCCTCTTATTAAGTCCCTCAACACCTCCATTGCCCTCAGGACAAAAATTTTGCTATCAGGGCACTCAAAATTTATTAGTGGCTCCAAATAATAGCAATTCTCTTCACATGAATTCACCGGCCGTGAAGGCACTAATCCTCTAGCTCTGGACTTACTCTTCGTTATTTATTTATTTATTAAAAAATATATTTTTATTCCTTTCAGAGAGGAAGGAAGAAGGCGAGAAAGATAGAAATATCAACTATGAGAGCAGCTGCCTCCAGCATGCTCCTCACTGGGGATTGAGCCTGCAACCTGGGCACATGCCCTTGACCAGAATTGAACCTGGGACCCTTCAGTCCTCAGGCCAACGCTCTTTCCACTGAGCCAGGCCGGCTAGAGCTGCTCTTGGTTATTGGAGACTCCCCCTGCTGGTCTTTCATTCATCACACATTCTGTCTTCCTGAGGATCTGAATCTCCCTGGAAAAAATCCATCGGGCCTGGAGTGGGGCCTGATTACCGTCTGCTTCCCCGTCCCTGTCAGTGGAGCAATAGTCTGTAAATGTTCAGTGAAGGCCTGCGGACTGAAAGGTCCCAGGTTCGATTCCAGTCAAGGGCATGTACCTTGGTTGCGGGCACGTCCCCAGTAGGGGGTGTGCAAGGAGCAGCTGATCGGTGATTCTCTCTCATTGATGTTTCAAATTCTCTATCCCTCTTTCTTCCTCTCTGTAAAAAATCAATAATATTAAATCAATAATATAAAAATAAAAAAAAAGAATATGAGGGAAGTGTAACTGGAGGCAACTCAGCAAGGTCTGTGGGTTAGGATTCTTCTCGAAGTCCCTTTGTCCTTGGAGATAAGGACGGTAGCTTTCCTCTGGGTACAAGGAGGGTTCCTCTCTCCTGAGGATTGTATCACCTGTCTTTAGGGAGAAAGGCGTGGGCAGCAGGAATGGGACCAGGTGTTAGTCTGGTGGGGTCAGACCGGACCTGGGTTCAGCAACCTCAGTACTTGGGTTCCAGCTAAGAAAGAATTCAGAGCCGGGATTCCAACTGTAAGAGAACATTTATTTACAAAACTACAGAGGTAAAAGAAACAAGTTATAGAAGTAAAGGAAGGGCCCCTGGAGTTTGGGAGTGGGGAAGGTGACGGTAAGGAGCCTGGAGGAATGGGGAGGGGGAAGAGCACCCTGGGTTCCCGATTCTCAGGGTTTTAAGGATGAAGATTTTAGGGGACGTCCCAGGGGAGGATCTCACTAGAATATTCAGCAGTTTTTCAGGGTCTAAGTTTCCACTGATGGATTATCCAATGCAGCTGGTCCTGAGGTCAGCGGCTGTGGCTGAGTTTGCTGCTTTTCTTGGCCTAGAGCTGAAATACAACTGAGGTAGATGTTATCTCTAGGGAGGAAAGGTCAGGGAGTCCAAACCTCATGACCACGATATGCTAGGGGAGGAAAAGTCACCCTGGGGGCGAGTCCCACCCTATAATTGTCCTTTGCTGGGCACCTGGGACTTCCACCGTGGTGACCTCCTGTACCTGGCCCATAGTCCTTGCTCTGCTTATGTCTGTCTAACTGCCTACAACTGGGTGAGGGTAGGAAGGTCAAAGTGATTTTCCTGTTTTCTCAAATTCCTTCAGTTTAAAATACTCATTATGCAAAGGTGCCATATTTTGGGTAGCATGTTCTGAACCCCATCAGTAGCACAGAGATTAAGGGTGTGACTCTTGCCAAAAACAGGTTTGGCTCAGTGGATAGAGCATGGGCCTGTGGACTGAAGGGTCCCAGGTTTGATTCCGGTCAAGGTCATATACCTTGGTGTGCAGAAGGCAGTTGATTGATATTCCTAACAATCATTCTCCCTTCCTCTCTGTAAAAAATCAATAAAATATATTTCAAACAAACAAACAAACAAACAAACAAACACACATGCCACATCTCCATCTCCAGCACTTGATTAAAAAAAAAAAAAAAAAAAGAATATGACTCTTCTGTCTGTGTTTGAATCCCAGCTCCATCCCTTTCTGGCTTTGTGACTTGAGTGAGGCTCTTCAACCTTTCTATGCCTCATTTATTTATAAAATCTATCTATATAAAAAGCTGATATGCCTGACCACCTGGGTAATGACGTCATGTAGCAACACCTGGCTTCCTCTGTGTAGCAAGGACTAGCCCCAGGTGGAAACACTTCACACTGGAACCAAATGTCTGTGAGGCATTTCCCCCTCATCTCATTTGATCCTCACAGAAGACCCAGAGTAGGTAGATGGGAGACTTGGTGGAATCCTATTTTCTTTGCATTAGCTGGAAAATGGAGATTTAGGAAGCTTAGAAACTTGACCCAACTGAATAGAAGAAATGGTAGACTTTGGAAATGACTGCAGGTCTTCTCACGGCACAGAATATAGTTAAACACTGCTGCAGTTAAATATTTTGCCCTTTGTTCTTCCTGTGTGATCTACAATAATAATCTTCGTGTTGATGTTTACTGCTGTGTTCCTGACAATTACCTGAAAAAGAAGTTGGGATGCTTCACTGGGCTGGAAAAAATTTAGCAACATCAGAAAGCAGGTCTAATTAAGCAAGTTTGTTCTCAATCTGTAAAAGGCTAAGTTGTCTCGTGCATGTGTGATACATATAAAACTCTCACTGGTGCCAATCGCACGCAAGCTGTTTCAATCTGTCATTGTTGATCATGAATTTGGTTGTTTTTGTTGACATTCTGAAGCTGAAAGAAACCAGTGGCGTCACATGGAAATAACAATGGCGATTAAGCCGGGACCGGTTTGGCTCAATGGATAGAGCGTCGGCTTGGGGACTGAAAGGTCCCAGGTTCGATTCCGGTCAAGGGCATGTATCTTGGTTGCCGGCACATCCCCAGTGGGGGGGTGTGCAAGAGGCAGCTGATCGATGACTCTCTCTCATCAATGTTTCTGACTCTCTATCTCTCTCCCTTCCTCTCTGTACAAAATCAATAAAATATATTAAAAAAAAAAACAAACAAAAAAACAAAAAAAAACAATGGCGATTAAATATGAACATAATAGTGATCGGGTAGATATAATTATCCCCATGTACCCGAAGTTGCCATCATATTCAGAAACAAAGATGGAGGACCTGCTTTTGAAAGGGACTTGCTCATTCATTGTAAACCAGATCCCAAAAATCCAAGTGCCACTCAAATGGGAACAAATCAGTATCCTGTTTCCTATATTAAATGCAATGACATATCCTATTCTTTTCCCACATGGTGAAAAAGGCTAGGGAATGGATATTGTATTAAGACTCAGAGAGGAAAGTGTAATCGACAATAATACTAGATTGAACGAGTGATGCTGAAAAGGAAAATTTTCCTATGGAATTGACTTGGGGTCATGGAATCCATAAGAGAACAAGTTAGGTGAAGTCCCTTCT